GAGTGGCCGTTCTGCCGCTGACCAGTGAGGTGACGGCGGAGGTCGACGAGCCATGCGTCAAACTCAACCGGCTGACCCTCCGCGTCAAAGCGCAGCACCGAGTCCGTCATTAAGGCTGCTGCAGCCGCGAACAGGTGGTGAAGGGCGGGACGGAGCGACGAGGAGCAGTGGGGAGCAGTGTTGTACAGTGCAGTGCGGTGGAATGCGGTGTAATGCAGCGCCGCGCGATGCAGAGTGGTGCAGTGCGGTGGGGCGCCGTGCAGTGCGGTACAGTGAGGTGGGGTGCGGTGCGTGCGGTGGGGCGCGGTGTAGTGCGGTGCAGTGCGGTGTTGAGCGGTGAAGCATGGTGGGGCGCGGTGCAGGACGGTGGAGAGGGCCGGTTTAGCGAGCGGGGACCAGGAAACACGGCGTAGTGGGGGGGGGGGGGAGGGGCCGCTGAGCAGCTGGGAGATGGGGCCACAGGGCGGCTGGGCCATAGGGCCGCGGGGCGGCTGGGCGTCGGGGACGCGGGGCGGCTGAGCGACGGGGCTGCGGAGCAGCGGGGTGACGAGGTCGCGGGACGGCTGGGTGATGTGGCCGCGAAGCAGCGGGGCGACGAGGCCGCGGGGCGGCTGGACGACGAGGCCACGGAGCGGCTGGGCGACGGGGCTGCGTGGCGGCTGGGTGAAGGGGCCGCGGGGCGGCTGGGTGACGGGGCCGCAGAGCAGTGGGGCGACGAGGTCGCGGGGCGGCTAGGCGACGTGGCAGCAGGGCGGCTACGCTAGGAGCGACACGGCTGCGGGGCCAGCAGGACGGCAAGGCGCAAGGCAACGAGGCGACGGGGCCACGAGGCCGTTAGGCGTCAGGTGACGAGACAACGGGGGACAGGGGCGGCTAGGTGCGGGGTGACGGGGCAACGGGGCCACAGGCGACTAGGCGCTAGGTGACGGCTGTTGGTGCAACCCTATGGCTTGCACTCGGCTTGTCGTCCTTGCTTGTGTGTGTGCATGCATGGCATGGAATGAATTGTGAGTCTATGTCATTGCTATCCAGTGCTTGTGTGTGTGTTTGAATGGTGTATCACAATGTGGTTTGTGTCGGTCAAGACATTAGCGAGTTTTTACAACTCGCATGTCAAGTCGTCGTTTGTGTGTCGCATGTGTTTTTTCTATTTTGTCGAGTGTGAAGTGTCCATCGTGTCGCAGGTGTGTGCAGCAAGCCCCCATCAACTCAAGAAGGATTTATCTTGCAGAACCAAGACCAAGAGCTCAAGATTTCAAGCCCAAGGGACGCGGATAAATATTAAATAGTGAAAATAGTAACGTTACTTCGTGTAGTGTTACATTTCACTTGGTGTAGCCCCTTGGAGGGTTGGTTTCGAGACTCTTCATGGTTGGGGACTCTGTGGTGGTGTACCACCAACTTGGACCTCGGCTCTTGGGGTATGTAGAGGCTGGGAACCATCTCCCTCTCGAACTCTTCTTGCTAAGTTTGTACTCCTAAGACTATAGTGGCTACTGTACCTCCTGCCAGTCAAACAGCCATAGCGTCGTCAAATCTTCATGAAATTTTATGATTCAACTTGCTGCTGATAGGCGCTAACAACGCGCTCCAGATCCAAGTTACAGATCACCGTTTGATTCAGCGACCAGATCGTTATCAATATTTGAAGCCGTCTGACGGAAATCCGACTGTGCTCTCTATCTCTCATTATAGGCACATCTAAGCCTATTGTGACTATAACAAGTGGTATCAGAGCCCCTTGGAGCCGTCTCGACCATGCCTAGACCTGAGGAAGGGGGTGGCAGAGGTGCTGGAGGCAGAGAAGACGCCCAAGCACAAGGTCAACACCAAGATCCACCCGTTGCTCCGGTGCAACCTAGCCTTGGACCCTCTAGGGATGAGCCTAGAGTGTTTGGCCTTGACAAGTTCAACGGTGACAACTTTGCTGAGTGGTCCTTCAAGATGGAGAACATCTTCGACCACTATGATCTGCTGGAGGTGATGGAAGGAACGGAGAAGCGCCCCGAGAACGACCCGGAGAAGAGCCCTTGGGTGCGGAAGAGCGCACAAGGCTACCTTCTACTCGGGCAAGCGTTGGGGAGCAGCCAAATCCGTCACATCAAGCCTTTTCAGCGTGAACCAGCAAAGGGACCAAAGGCATGGGCTGCTCTCAAGGGTGTACACGCTCTCGCAACAGCGGTGGTGGCTGTGGTTTTGGAGCGGCAAATGGCGGCACTACGAATTGACGAAGGCGAACCGGTGGAGGAAGGAGTGCAGAAATTCTTCGACTTGTTGACACGGCTCGAAGGAGCTGACCTGAACTATAGTGACCTTCAAAAGAAGACCAAGCTGCTGGCCTTACTTCCGGACTCATGGTCCTCGCTCATCATCAACCTTAATCGAGATCTGCCCCGTCTCTCACTCGAAGATGTGAAGCGGGAAATCTTACAAGAAGATTTCCGCCGTCGCGAATTGGCGGGTCTCGATGGTGCCGGAGTTGCAAGCATGGGCCGTGGGCACGGCCGTGGAAGGGGCAGAGGGCGAGGAGGAAGATTTGGCAGCAGTAACTTCAATGGAGGCCGTGGTAATGGAGGATATGGCAGCAACAACAACAACAATGGCTACGGGCGTGGGCGCGGTCGATTTGATGGCGAATGCCACTTTTGCCACAAGACCGGCCACATGTGGAGAGATTGCTTCAGATTGCCTGATGGATGGACCCCTTCTCAAGGCCAAGAGGGCAGAGGAGCAAGGGGAGGAAGAGGCAGAGGTCGTGGAGGCCGTGGTGGTCGTGGAAGCGAAGCGGCAAGCATGAAAGGTGGAGACTACGACAAGGACTCGAGTGAAGATCGATACCCGGGCCAATTCTTCTTTGTCTCCATGCAAGCGGCAGCTGCAGCAGGAGGCGTGGAAAGCTTTGAGGAGCCAGCTACTGTGGGAAAGGTCACCCTTCACTCTCTAGACTTTTGGGTGATCGATAGCGGCGCCAACTACAGCATGACACCTCGTGCGGACTTGCTCACCGAACTCGAACCGTCGCCGGTCAAGCATGTTACATCGGCTTTGGGGCAGCGAGCAGAGGTGAAGGGCATGGGTAAGGCCATGTTCAAGGGTGCTGATGGGAAGATGGTGGGCCTCAAGAACGTGCTTTTGGTGCCCAACCTTGCAGCCAACCTGATTTCCGTTCGGCGTTTGCAAAAGGCCGGCATGGACACATCTTCCAAGGGATCCAAAACCTATACCGCAAGGCTTGGTGAGCGGAAGCTTTGGGACCTTCATGAGGACAGGGACATCTACAATGAGATGTGGCAAATCCCAGTGGTCCCCATGCCTAAAGAGAGGCAAGTGGCAGCAAGCGTCAGCACCAAGCGTGAAGCGGTTGGTGGCGGTGATCACGGAAAGCAAAGTGACACCAAGAGTGACTCGAAGGAGTGCAACCTTGGAGAGACCAGCAAGGCGTGTGAACCCAAGGAGAATGGTGCAGCAGCCAAAGGTGGTGGAAATGAGGAGGAGAAGGCTAAGATCAACAAAGCAGCAGCGGCGAAGGAGAAAGGAGAGAGCTTGTGGGGCACAATTGCGAGTGCCGCTTTCTCCAACCCGACTTCCGCTACGGGAGAGTGTGATTGGCTGACCTTGCATCGGCGAATGGGGCATGTGGCATTGCCCATTTTGCAGCAGATTGTTAAGCAAGAGATGGTCAGTGGGATACGTGTCAAGGGGGAGCCCAATGAGGTGCTTGGCTGTCCAACATGCATGCAAGCCAAGTTCACCCGCTACCCGTTCCATAGCTCGGAGACAACAGCGAAGGCACCACTTGATGAGGTGGTGATGGATGTGGTGGGCCCCTTGAAGCTTGGAGCTGCTGGAGCTGAGTACTTCCTCACCATTGTGGACGTCTACACTCGCATGACTTGGGTGTATGTGCTGCCCAAGAAGAGTGACGTAGCTGAAACGGTGAAGACCGATTGGTTGCCGATGGTGGAGCGACAACAAGACCAACTTGTAAAGGCGATTCGCACTGACCGTGGGGGAGAGTTCCTGAGCAAGGATTTCTCAACTTGGCTGAAGAAGCAGGGCATAAGGCACTCTCTTACCATGCCCTACTCTCCTGCAATGAACGGCATCGCCGAGCGTGCGAATCGGACACTCACGGAGACGGCTCGGGGACTTCTCATTGAAGCCGGTCTTCCCAATTACTTTTGGCCGGATGCGGTGCGGCATGCTTGTGTGGCCAAGAATAGAGCCTTGACTCATGTGGGAGAAGACAAATGGGTGCCCTATGTGGAGTGGATTGGAAGGAAGCCGAAGGTGGATATGCTTCGGGTGTTCGGGTGCATGTGCATGGCGCTTGTGCCTAAGAAACTTCGGCACAACAAGCTTGATGCCAAGGCAACATGGGCCGTGCACCTGGGCATGGCTCAAAACAGCAAGGGATGGCTTCTTTGGGACCCATTTACCAAGAAGTTCCTGGTGAGCAGGGATTGCAAGTTCATGGAGAACTTACCGTACAAGGAGTGGAAGGCGGAGAACCAAGCGAAGATTGGTGTGCGGCTTGGAGAGGTGAAGAGTACCGGCTTGGAGCATGTGGAGCTGCCCTTGGAGCTGAGTAGCAGCAGCACTATCACAAGGCAATCTCTTCAAATGAATGGGGGAGAAGAGGAGGAGGAGGTGCAGCAAGGTGATGAGCGTGCACCGTCACTTCCGCCTCGTGCTACAAGTGCTCGAGGAAACCGACCAGATTTGCAGCAACACCATGAGAGCATTCAAGTCCCTGCAGCAGAGGAGGAAGGAAGGGGGAGAAGGAGGACTCAGCCCCCCAATAGGTTGAGCTATGAACGGCTTGGAGGACCAGCCAACTCAACCTTGACCGGTTCGGCTCTCATGCTAGGTGATGATGCGGAAGATGAAAGCGAGGAGTGCGCTTTTGCCTTCTTCTCTCCGGTGGAGATACCGGGGGAGCCTACAAATCCCAAGGAGGCTTGGGAGGGCCCCAATGGGAAGGAGTGGAAGAAGGCCTCAGATGAAGAAATGGGGAGCATCATCGAGAACAACACGTTTGACTTGGTGAACCTACCTCCGGGGCGTAAGGCGATTTCTTCCAAGTGGCTCTTCAAGCGCAAGACCGACGCCGACGGCAACATTGAGCGCTACAAGAGCAGACTTGTAGCCAAGGGGTATCAGCAGCAAGAGAAGAAGGACTACAATGAAGTGTATGCCCCTGTGGTGAAGGGTACAACCCTTCGAACCCTCTTCGCCGCGGCGGCCATCAAAGGATGGGTGGTGAAGCAAATGGACATTGTAACGGCCTTCCTCAACGGCGTTTTGGAGGAAGAGACCTACATGGAGCAGCCAGAGGGGTACAATGATGGGAGTGGCAGAGTGTGGAAGCTGAAGAAAGCACTCTATGGCCTCAAGCAAGCCCCTAGGCAATGGTACATCAAACTGCGGGAAGTCTTGGAGGCGATCGGCTTCACTCCCTCAACGGCCGATCAATCCTTGTTCATGCTTGGCGAGGGGGAGCAGAGGAGCTTCATGGTGGTTTATGTGGATGACATCCTCATATTCTCACCCTCCTCTGACCTTGTGAAGGAGGTGATGCTGAAGCTTCAAGACAAGTTCAAGTGCAAGACCTTTGGTGACGTCAACTACTACCTTGGGCTTCACATTGAGCGAGATGTGGAGAAGCGGTGAATGCGAGTGCATCAAAAGAAGTACTTGGAGGCCTTGGCTGCAAACTTTGGGAAGAGTGAAGGTCATGTGGCTACTCCTCTTCCCTCAGGGTTCAAGTGTGTGAAAGGACCAGCGGAGGAAAGTGTTGGTGAAGAGGAGAGGCGCCGTTTTCACTCCTTGGTGGGCAGCCTCATGTATGCGGCCGTTCACACAAGGCCGGATGCAGCCTTTGCTACTGGGCAGCTGGCTAGGGTTGTCCAATGCCCTAATGAGGAGCAGGTAGCAGCTGGAGAGAGGGTGGCCAAGTACCTTGGCCAAACAGCAACTGTTGGACTGCAATACTCCGCGGCGGCACAAAGGCGTCAAAAGGGTGCGGATGGAGTCGAACCCGGGAGGCTCTTTCTCACCGCCTTCTCTGATGCATCTTGGGCATCAGAACCAGAGGACATGACAAGTGTGGGAGGCTTCATCTGCTGTGTTGGTGGAGGCCCAACAGCTTGGGAGAGCAAGAAACAAGTGGACCAAGCATTGAGCTCGGTGGAGTCCGAGTACATGGCACTCTTCCGTGCCATAAGAGAGGTTGTGTGGCAGCGGCGTTTGCTAGCTGAATTGGGGGAGGAGCAGCAAGAACCTACCCCACTCTATTGTGATAGCCAGGGTGCTATTGCATTGGCTAAGAACCCGGTTCTTCATGGCCTTACCAAGCACATGAAGGTGAAGTGGCATTGGGTGAGGAGCATGGTAACCGCGGGTGAAGTGGAGTTGCACTACGTGAAGACGACGGCGCAGCCTGCTGATATGATGACCAAGAGGCTGGTTGAGCAGCAGCATTGGAAGTGTTGCAAGCTTGTTGGGATGGCTCTGAACTAAGGGGAGCAGATTCTAAGGCCAACAATCCGAGGGGGAGTTTGTTGGTGCAACCCTATGGCTTGCACTCGGCTTGTCGTCCTTGCTTGTGTGTGTGCATGCATGGCATGGAATGAATTGTGAGTCTATGTCATTGCTATCCAGTGCTTGTGTGTGTGTTTGAATGGTGTATCACAATGTGGTTTGTGTCGGTCAAGACATCAGCGAGTTTTTACAACTCGCATGTCAAGTCGTCGTTTGTGTGTCGCATGTGTTTTTTCTATTTTGTCGAGTGTGAAGTGTCCATCGTGTCGCAGGTGTGTGCAGCAAGCCCCCATCAACTCAAGAAGGATTTATCTTGCAGAACCAAGACCAAGAGCTCAAGATTTCAAGCCCAAGGGACGCGGATAAATATTAAATAGTGAAAATAGTAACGTTACTTCGTGTAGTGTTACATTTCACTTGGTGTAGCCCCTTGGAGGGTTGGTTTCGAGACTCTTCATGGTTGGGGACTCTGTGGTGGTGTACCACCAACTTGGACCTCGGCTCTTGGGGTATGTAGAGGCTGGGAACCATCTCCCTCTCGAACTCTTCTTGCTAAGTTTGTACTCCTAAGACTATAGTGTCTACTGTACCTCCTGCTAGTCAAACAGCCATAGCGTCGTCAAATCTTCATGAAATTTTATGATTCAACTTGCTGCTGATAGGCGCTAACCACGCGCTCCAGATCCAACTTACAGATCACCGTTTGATTCAGCGACCAGATCGTTATCAATACTTGAAGCCGTCTGATGGAAATCCGACTGTGCTCTCTATCTCTCATTATAGGCACATCTAAGCCTCTTGTGACTATAACAACGGCCCCGCGGGGCCAGCGGGGCGGCTAGGTGCTAGGTGGCGGGGCAACGGGGCCACGGGCGGCTAGGCACTAGGGAACGGGGCTGCGGGGCCAGCAGGCGCTAGGAGATGGGGCCAACGGGCCAGCTAGGCAACGGGGCAGCGGGGCCAGTGGGGCAGCTAGGCGCTAGGCGATGGGGCCGGCTTGGACCTAAGGCGGAAGCGCGGGTGGGGGGGGGGGACCTAACCTACTCATGATACCATCTCAGAGTTAGAATTGTGTAATAGAATGGGAGTATATGTCGAGCTAAGAAACACTAGAAAGCCATGGTAGGCTTGAGGTTTTAGCTAGAAGAGGAAGTTGGCGAGAGAAAAGAGATCGAGAATAGAAGAGAGAGGGATACAAGGAGGGGGGCTGTACCCTCTACAATGTTGTGATAAAATCGTATGTAAGCATTTTTGTAAGTAGTCCCGATAGATATTGTCGAGTTACACTGTAGTAAGCATCCGTAGAATGACGTCAGAAAATAGCGCTCGTCTGGATGATTACGTCAGCAAGCCGTTTCAGTTACGCGAACAGTCGCGCTCTTTTCAGTAGCGGTTTAAGCGCATAGCGCAAATAGCTTGAACAGGTACATCACCGAATAGGTACTTCTAGCAGATATAAAAGTAGCTTGTACAACTTCAATTGTTAACTTGTTCTTCAGTAAATTCTGGTCAATACTTAACAAGTTCTAAGACTTCCGCTGTCTTACTAGTCTACCATTCCAGCAAAGATCCTTGGTTAAGTCTTGAAGTATCGCAAGGCTGTAACACTTACTCTGGTGTCACAACTTGTTAATACTGGCTGTTACTGGAGGTACTTCAGTATTACTTTCTACTTCAAGTACTTCTGTCTGCAAATTCCATACTTAGTCTCTTGCACCACCTTTCAAATTCTTTCATGGTATCAAATTCTATACTTAGTCTCCTGCGCTGACTTCTACGCTTGGAGTTTCAAATTCGAGCTCCTCACGAAATCTGCTGGATTGTGGCCATTCTTTAGTGGCGATTATTCGTATCCTGTTACGGGAACACAGATGGAACAACAGAGTTTTCTTCATTCTTCACTCAGCGCTTACACCGTCTTTATCCGCAATCTGTCGCTGAAAGAGCAGCTTGGTATACGCTCTCTTCACACCAGTTTGACTCCAGCAGAATCTGCGTGGAAGCATTTGAAGGGATTATACATGGCACGGGATACAATTTCTGTGAGTAAAATTCTCTCACAACTGACAACTCTACAAATGCAGGGCAACGAGAACGTTTCAGATTATATCAACAGGGCTCGAACACTTCGTGACCAATTGGAAAAGTGCGGCGGATACTTCCCAAAGGACATATTTGTAACAGTCCTTCTTGCCGGTCTTGGAGCAAAATGGCGGCAGTGTCGATCTCTTCTTCGTCTTCAACCAATTCTTTCGGAAACAAGTATCTGCTCAATTCTTCAAGCAGACCAGCAAGACCGTGACGTGTAGTGAGCACGTAACAAAAGGGGAGCAGTTAACATCAGTTTTTATTCAACGCCCACGAAACGTGTCAACAATTTCATCTGTCACTACTTAAAAAAGGATGGACACAGCATAAAATTTTGCTAACAACAACTCATGCAAAATCAGGAAAACAAGTTTTCAACTGCGTTACAACAGTTCATGCAACAGACCCAGATTTCGATGATGAAGAAGACAAAAACTCCATCGAGCAACCTGAGAACATGATTTTACCTCAAGTATATGCTAATCTTGCTCGGGTTATTGCAGGACAAAGAACTTGGTATCTTGACAGTTGTTGTGGACAACACATGTGCTCTGTCGAGACGCTCTTCATTACTCATCAGCGTCCGTTTCGATGTCCAGTACCTGTCACTGTTGCAAATGGACAAACCATTTAGGCAAGGTCAATCGGCAGTGTCATGTTGGATTCCGTGGATACAGGTTTTTCCTTACACGTTACGAATGTCCTTATCATCGCTGGACTTGGCTTTAATCTTCTTTCAACGCCTCAACTCCTGTGACATAAGATCAGGATACAAGGCAATTGTGAGACAATGGACCAGGAACTTTATCACAATGAAACAAACACTTACATCGGGAGAGCCGCCACTCAGTATGGGGTCTCCGTTCTTCAATTCGAGTCGCAAGGAACTTCTAGATCTTCTGAGAAAGTGTTATCTCTTGGACCTTGGCAATATCCCGAAGAAACTGATTTTCACAAGGTTGACGTAGACTTCCGTGCAACGGCAGTTCCAACAGGATCTCGTACAACAGCAACAGCTATAACGGCTCTTGATTCCTCGCCAACAAACACAGCCGAGGAAGATACATCAGCATGGAGGAATTACTATGACACTTTACAACAACTTGAAAACAAACCTACACTACCTTGGGGACCCAACAGCAGCAATGAAGCAGAGGAACCAGAGCAGCAGAGTAGCGGTGAGGCAGAAACAGGGGTTCTCGTCGGGCAACCTGCAGCAGATTCAAAAGAAACAGAATTGAGGAAGGGGAATTATTTCTTCAACCGGAAGAAGTTCTCGATGTGGAAATTACAACCACGAAGTTACCTCTTACTCGCTTCGTTCCTGGCCAACTCGAAGAAACACCAGCGTTTCCTCCTTTCATCTTTTCTTCATTTTATACTAACGCTGATTTTCAACAAGACACAAAGCAACAGAAGATATTTAGCATCAAAGGTTAGGACATCCTTCACCAGGAATACTTAACCATAGTATCCAAGCTTCAGTTCTTGACAAAAACAGTTTACTCTTACCGGATGGAACTGAGATGAAGCCGTCGTCAAGACCAGCTGTCTGCACCACATGCTCAATTGCAAATCTTCCGCACGAACCCTTTCCAATTCACTTTCCGGGTTCAACTCGATACACACTTAGGCAGAAAGCTTACAGCGACATCCTCAACTTACCTGAAGCACGACCTAAGGGGGAGTTATATATGATCTCTTTTATCGAGGCTTCTACTCGATATGTTTGGACGTCGAACATTCCAGCTCGGCATATGGCTCACTCAATCTTCGTCGCGTGGCTCGCATTGGCTGAAAGAGAATCGGGGAAAACTTTTCAGGAGTTTCAGAGTGACGAAGCAAGAGACTACACGAACACAAACTTCACCGACTACCTTCAAACCCTAGGCATCAAGTGCAGAATGTCTCTGCCGCATCAACATCAACAAATGGGGGTAGCAGAAAGGATGAACAGGACATTGCAAGAAAAGATGCGAGTCTTGCTGACTCAGGCAGCATTACCACCACATTTTTTTACTTACGCTTTGGACCATGCAGTTCTTCTGCACAATTTACTGTCGACAACTTCACTTCCGAAATTTCCTTCGCCACACCTACAGTGGACAAAAAGGGTCGGCAACACCAAACATTTAAGAGTTTTCAGGTGCATCGTTCAATATCGACCTCCGACAGCAGCACTTGGAAATTTTTCAGAACGGGCTAAATGGGGGATACATCTTCGTATCGAGAAGCAGTTTTATGCGAGGAAAATTATGGATCTTCGCACGAGTCAAATCGTACCAGCACGTGATTGTCTTTTCTACGAAAGACTCACCTTACATGTTTTTCGTGCTCACCAGGCTGCAGCTGCCAATCCTACCAGGCTATTCGAAGGATCGCGTGCCTTCGCTTCCGACGACGCCGAAGCAGATGTACAGGATGAGTCCGTGGCTGAGTCATCCGAAGCTGCCACAGACATCCCCGTGCCAACCACGTCAGCTGGAACTGCTGAATTTATTCCACTCAGCGAAGCAGACTCAGAGGATGTTCGAGATGTGGTTATTGATTTCGAACGCGATCGTCAGCAGCAGCCCATGCCAGTTGTCTCCGAAGCAGCGATCCGTGTAACACATGAAGAAGCTGGGGGGGAACAGGG